CAAGTCGTACACTCTGTCTGGGCCTGGGCAGCTTTAGGGTTGGTCTGCCAGATGGGAAGTGGGGACAGCTCTCCCATTGCCAGAGTTTTGCCACTGGCTCTGCCACATCTGCACTACAGTGTTGAATCTATAATGCTGCCCCAGCAAGGTGCCATGCCTGCTCTCCCGAGCGCTGCAGCTGGTGGGGGTCAGGGATGGCTCTCCCACTCCTATGACCACAGGGCCATCAGTCCCACCTGCCCCAGGTGTTGATTTAGGGGGAGGGTATCTCTCCCCAGTCCATGTTGCTATGTTGCAGATGGGGGGGGGGGGGCGGGGCTAGATTGAGCATGCTCCCATCCTCAGAGTTTGCTCACCTGTGCTCATCAACAGGATCATCTCTACTGTGCTGCCCAGGCCAAGTGCAGGGCTCACTTCCCCATGTGTGGCTGCTGATTGCGGGATCAGCTCCCCCACCATGTCAGCCTGCTCCCTTGCTCTCTCATCTCCAGATTTGCCTCTGTCCATAGGACCTGAACCATTCTGTCTGTCTGTCTGTCTGTCTCTCTCCCATAACACACCATGTCGTACCTCTGTCCATAGGACCTGAACCATTCTGTCTGTCTGTCTCCCATAACACACCATGTCATACCTCTGTCCATAGGACCTGAACCATTCTGTCTGTCTGTCTGTCTCTCTCCCATAACATACCATGTCATACCTCTGTCCATAGGACCTGAACCTGTCTGTCTGTCTGTCTCCCATAACACACCATGTCATACCTCTGTCCATAGGACCTGAACCATCCTGTCTGTCTCTCCCATAACACACCATGTCATACCTCTGTCCACTCTGATAGTGCCCAATAGCTGGAGCTACAAGGTATCAGGTAGGTCCATGTCTTCTCGGTGCCCAGGGTGGGCAGCCCCAGGCCTGCCCTTGGGTCTCCCCATCTCAAGTTGCTGTGACCCTGGGTGGGGCCAGGCTTCCACATCACAGGGAGATTATTATAGTACCCAGGTACTCTGCAAGAACAAGTGCTCTCGACCACTGAGTCATCTCTCCAGCCCAAGGAATGTTGACCTTTTCTTATTCCCTTACCCCTACCTCTTACGGCCTCATCTGCTGCATCTTTGAGCCTATCGCTCCTTAGTGTAGTAACTAAGTGCTATAACTACCTCAACAAGATTAATGGGTGGTATCTTTATCTGGATACTTTTACTTGGGGCATATCTTGTGAATTTCCTAGAAGATTTACTCTGACTTGACTTCCCAGTCTGTTCTGATAATAAGACTTCTCCATTAGTCCATAATCTATTTTTAAAAGGGGCACTAACCTCATTGTCAGCTCTTTCATATTACAATAAAAAGCACACATTCAACCCTGCAAAAGCCACCACCTCAGTACCTTCATTGATCCCTAAGCTAACGGCCCCTGTCTTTCCTAGACCTGCTGGTGAGGATGTGCTGGCGCTCTACCTGACAACCAGTTTTGTCTGTTGTGGATGGCTTGACAAACGGGAGCAGATATGGAAACTCCTCCCAGCTTCTGCCACTAGATCAGCCACAGCCTTTGCCATCATTCCTAAGCAACAAGCAGCAGTCAGACAGGTATCACCCCTATCTGTAGGAATTCTCTCAAGTGAGAAATGTTAGACAGGAGTTAGCTAGATGAAAGGAGTTAAGTGTAAGGCTCATGAGGAACCATTCCCCTATATATTTTTTTTTCTTTTGGTTTTTTGAGACAGGGTTTCTCTGTAGCTTTGGAGCCTATCCTGGAACTAGCTCTTGTAGACCAGGCTGGTCTCGAACTCACAGAGATCCGCCTGCCTCTGCCTCCCAAGTGCTGGGATTAAAATCATACACCACCACTGCCTGGCTTCCCCTATTTTTTATGCATAGAGCATAGTCTCCTCTCTGGTTGTATCCAGGGAGCATACATAGGGCATGCAGACTCCTCAGGATGTGCTCAAAAGTGACTGTCTTACTTAGGGTTTCTGTTGCTGTGAAGAGACACCATGACCACAGCAACTCTGATAAGAGAAACATGTTTAATTAGGGTAGCTTATATTCTCAGAAGTTTAGCTCATGATCATCATGGTGCCACATGGTAGCATGCAGGCAGACATGGTGCTGGCGATGAAAGCCCTACATTTTGATAGGCAGGCACTAGGAAGTGGTCTGTTACACTGGGTGGGATCTTGAGTGTAGGAGATCTCAAAGCCCACCCCCACAATGACACACTTCCTCCACCCCTACTTGAATGAGGCCTCACCTCCTAATAGTGCCACTTCCTTTGGGAACCATTTTCTTTCAAATCACCACAGTGACCAATCTTCATAACAAAAAAAAAAAAGAAAGAAAGGAAGGAAGGAAGGAAGGAAGGAAGGAAGGAAGGAAGGAAGGAAGGAGAAAGAAAATGTGAAATTTGTGTTTCCTTAAGAAAAGCTGGACAAAACTATACATTTGTGTTTCTGCATCACTTAAACATCATGTCTGACCCCTGGATCCTGACTTAGGGTGCTGTGGTGATTTGAATGGGAACCCCCCCCCCCCCCCAGGCTCATGTGTTTAAATGCTCAGTCCCAGTTGGTAGAGTTATTTTGGAAAGATTTGGAGGTATGGCCTTGCTAGAGGAAGTATGTCACTAGGGCCATGCTTTGAGATCTAAAGAGACACACCTGACTCTCTGCCTCCTGATTGCAATTCAAGATGTGAGCTCTCAGCTGCTGCCCCAGCCCATCATGGACTCCAACCCTCTGAAGTTTACATCCAAAATAAATTCTTTCTCCTGTAAGTTGCCTGGATCGTAGTGTTTCATCACAGCAATAGAAAAGTGACCAATACAGCCGTCCTTACATGCCTTTGACTGTTTGAGGTAGGAGTGAAGGTCAGTGCACGGGAGAAACCCTAACTCTGGAATCGGACTGTAGCCTCAGGCAGGAATTGAGCAAGAATTCTAGCACAATTACTGCTGCCAAATGCCTTTCTGCCTTTTGAGCTGTAAAATTGCCACAAACCTGCACTTTTCTAGAACTCTAACCAGAGACCCACCTCCAGGGAGAGGACGGCCAAGCCGCTGGTGCAGCACTGGTCTCTTCGGCTTTCACTCAATAAGGTTTTCAGTTCATCCAGGGTAGCTCCGGAACCACGTCCCAGCAGACGAGAGAAAAGACTTCTTAGTGGACTTTTGAGGTTTGAGAGTCACTGCCAGGATATATGCAGCTGCTATGACAGCCAATGCTTGTGATCCCTCAAGGAGATCGCAGCCATGCTTGGGAAAGCCTTCCTTTCTCACCTGCTCTCTCTCGGGATTCATGCGTCATCCTTTGCTCTGTGTTGAGTCCTCGCGTAGCTCCAGGAGCTTGGACCTGACTCAGGATGGTAAGGAATGAAAGGAAAAAAAATGAACACAGACAGACACACAGAAAAGCTGGAATCAGGTGGTCTGGATTTTCTGATAAAACCAGACAACCCCGGAGGCTCAGTGTGTTACTTACATAGAGTTGAACAGAAAATAGGGTTATTGCATACAACCAAATAAGAAGCCAAGTCTAGCTAATCTAAGGTGGGAGCAGAGCGGTCTCTGTGGGGGAGCAGCTGTAATCGAGAGGGAGAAAGCTATGGTGGGCATTTTCTGTACATGCTGTGAGCATCCCCACAAACATCAGCAAAAGCCTTTGCCATCCCTCTGAGCCTCATGGCGGGAGGAGGTGGGATGGGGGGACATTTTCCCATGAGTCTTGGTCATGCACATATCCACAGCACACGTTCTCTCAGGACTTCACTTGCTTGGGCCTTGAGGGTTTAAGAGAAAGACGCTTGGAAGTATAGGAGCCAAGGAAGCCTATATTCAAGGATCTTTTGTGGGGACTGGAGAGAGGGCTCCCAGGTAGAGCCTGCTCACTGCTCCTGCAGAGGACTCAGTCTTGGCTCCCAGCACCCACATGGAAACTCACAACCAGCTACACCTCCAGTTCCAGGGGATCCAAGGTCATCTTCTGACCTCCTCGGGAACCAGGGATGTACATGGTGCACATACATATGTGCAGGTAAAATACCTGTCCACATAGAATAAATAAATCTTTAAAATATACATATCTTTAGAAACTTTCAATCCCATAATGCTGGTTAGTCCTGAAATTCAGCACCAAGCCATAAATCTCTAGGTCCCTAAAACCTAGGGCAATGGTTCTCAACCTGTGGGTCACGACTCCTTTTGCAAGCCTCTCTCTCCACAACTATTCACATTACAGCTCCTAACAGTAGCGAAATCACAGTTATGAAGTGTCAATGAAGATGATTTTGTGGTTGGGGGCCATCCCAGCATGAAGAAGGTCGAGAACCACGAATCTAGGGGAAGTCCCCGGGCTCCTGATGATGGAGCTGTACCCCTGTCTCTTCAGCAATGACACTTGGAAAAAGAATTTTCTTTGTTCATCTGCACCTCACTGTGTCTTTTGGTTTGCTGAGGACAGGCTGTTAAGACCAGCTTATCAGAGGTGCCAGGAACCAGGCTCGCCCCCTAGTGGCTGTGTAAATGCAAAGTCAAGAATTACCAGACAGGTTGCTGGACATGTATGTGCCTTAGAAGGAAGGGTGTAGGCATCTATGGAAAAAAAAAAAAAGAAGAAGAAGAAGAAAAAGAAAAGAAAAGAAAAACCCTGGTTCCATCCCCAGAATCAGAGAACGTGGGCAAAGTGGCACACCTCAGGGCTCAGGGTCTCAGCACTTGGTAGGTAGGGGCAGGAGGATCAGGAAGCCAAAATCATCCGCAGCTACATAGACACCTATCTCGTTCAAGGCCAGGCTAGGCTCCATAGGGCCCCGTCATAAAAAAAGAATTGACTGAGGAATAAAAATGAACAGCAGAGGCTCCTGATCTGAGCAAATTAAACATAATAAACCTTAAAAAAGTGAACAACGGGAAAAAAAAATCTTTAAAAAGAGAATTAACAGGAAAAAAATATTCTCTAAGTACTAAGGAATTGATAGTAGAGAACAGACTGGTACACTTATACTGTCAGAATGATTTATTAAGCTTCCAAATTTCAGGCCCGGGATACAAGAAGATTGCACCAAAAGCTCTTTGGTCGAGTACTAGGTCCATACAGAAAACTATGTCATCAAGTCTCCATGCCCACGATTTGCTACGAAATCAGCGTGTCCAATCTATCACTCCTAAAAACACAAAAGAAGACAGTGTTAGTCCAGACATGACTGTGGGGACTGGAAAGACTCGGAATGGTTAAAAAGCTGTTCTGCAGAGGACCTGGTTTGGATTCCCAGCACCCACATGGCATTCACACGGCTATAACCACAGTTCCAGGAAACCCAAAGACCTCTTCTAGTTCCCCATGGGACCCAGGGATACACATGGTACTGACATATATGTGGGAAAAACATCCACACATACCCAAATTAAATTATGCATGTATATGTGCACAACTATATCCAACTAATATTAAAAATAGTTCATCAATGATTGCACAGAAAAATATGCACGTGGAGCCAGTCCACCTTTCAAAGAAAGTGACTAACAGGGGTCGACCCTCACCCCCACCCCAGAGTAATCAGCCTCCCAAGAGATTCATCCCCCAAAACAAAGTCAGGAAGGGCTGGCAAGGCAAGAGACTTAGGAGTTGACCTACTTGAGTTTAAACAAATCACCCAAGCCGGGCAGTGGTGGCGCATGCTTTTAATCCCAGTACTTGAGAGGCAGAGGCAGGTGGATCTCTGTGAGTTTGAAGCCAGTCTGGTCTATGAAGCGAGTTCCAGGATACCCAGAGCTGTTACATACAGAGAAAGCCTGTCTCAAAAAACAAAAGGAATGGAGGGAGAGAGAGAGAGACAGAGAGACAGAGAGACAGAGACAGAGACAGAGACAGAGAGAATCACCTGATCCCAGGCATCTGAACAAGCATCATCCGCATCCATTCCTTCCTATGCCCTCAGTGCGAGAGGCGTCCTGCCACTGTTACAGCATTTATCCATCCACTGAATGAGCTGTTTCCGTCATCAAAGCTGTTGGAGCCCTGGCTTCGTGTGATCAATAGCAGTGGGTAGATGCAACAGACCCGTGCCACCCCCCTAAGGCATACTTCCCGCCTGACAATGTAGGCACTGGTCTCAGCTTCTTTCTTTTTTTCACCCCACTGGGTTTTCAAAGAGCTCCATCACTTCAAGCTAAAAGTCAGGACAGGCTTGAGGTGGCCCAGGACTCCACCCACCCACTACAGTGAGCCTGCTGTGTCCATCCACTCCCTGCTCCTGGGTGGCAACAAGGCACTGGCCTGCTCCAAATGAAGAAGCAAACAAGCCCCAGCAGCCAGAGCCCTTGGTCTGAGGACTCCCAGGCACCACATTGTCTGTCCGAAGGCCTCAGAGTGGCCAAGCGGGCCTGATTCTCTCTAGTCTGCTCCTGGAGAGACCAGTGAACAGCTTAAACCACTGATTTGCTCTGCCTTCAGGGCTCTGCCCTGCCCTGGCTGCGCTGCAGCCTTTGCTGAGACATCCACCACAGAACACAATCTGAGGGAGGGTCCAGAGGGCTAAGGAAAGCGAACAGAAATAGGCGCCAGCTCCATTGGGAGCCAAAGGCCTGAAACAGTGACTTTCATCAGGGTCTGAGAATTAAACTCATCTGAGTCCTTCCCAATAAATCAGAAGGATGGCTCTGAAGGATGGACCCCAGGGGCCTGTGTCCTGTAGAGAGAGAGTCACAGACCGTCATTCCTAATGGTGTCCTTCCACAGGAAGGGTCTTAACATGCTGGCACAGGTCTCTAGGTCCAGCTTCTGAGTAGGCATCCTTTCCCTCAAAGGATTTCCCTCCAGATCCTGGAGGTCACAGTTTCCAAAAATGCCTTCCAGAGAAACCCTCCAAAGATGGGACAGCTTCAAGCAATCTGGTGCTAGGCCATGTGTACCAGCAACAGGACTCAAGGGCAACTGCCAAGGGGCGCTCCTTTCCCCTCCCCTCAGAAGGACCTCCTAGGGCAACTTTGGTGAGAGTGTCCGACCCTATGAAGGTGGGGTCTCCACCAGGCCCTGGAGGACAGACTTTCAGAAAGACCTTCTTCTTGAAGGGACTTCAGGAGCGCAGTGTCCTCTAGGGACCTCATCTCAGGCCAGTGGTTATAGGAAAAGACCGGGGTAACGGGAGACTCACTAGCATGATGTTCCAGGAAATCCTTAGAAGGATGACAGGGATGATGGACACAGTCTCAGAAGGGCCAGCCAGGAGACACAGGAGGGTGCCCTGCAGGAGGAGTCTAGTAAAACTTTGGATTTCAGCAGACTATTGCTCTGGCCAGAAACCACAGCCCCGGGGCCTTAATGAGAACCTTTAATCTTCTCGAGGCACAAAAAGGCCGTTTTTATAACTCAGTCTGCCTATGGGAAAGCTCGGCTTCCACGGGTCACTGTGGAATCTTGAACAGGTCTTGTGAGGAGATTGTTCACGCTTGGTCAGTGTGACTGGGTCGCCCCAGAGTGTGGGATCCCACCACCTTGTCCTCAGCTTTCTTTTCTCCGTCTTTGACTGTTTTCTTGTGGTCTCCTTAGCGCTCTCATCCTGAGCAAGTGTCTGTACGTTTCCTCTGGGCACTCTGGGCTCTGACTTCAGACAGTTGTCTTTGGCGGACAGCTCTAAGGCCTGGGCCTTTTTCTTGTCCGGCAGACTTGCTCCTCCCCCAGGCACTGGGCCCAGTTCCCTCAGTTTTTTCTGGAGGAAAGCCTTTTCTCTCGAGAACTGGTACTGAGCCTCCCTTTCCTTAGCTCTCTTACCCTTTGCTTTCTCCCTCTTTGGTGCCTGTACTTCCTCCTCCTGGCTCCCCTCCAAACTCCACGAGGACAGCATTTCCTGCACTGGTGGCCTTGATCTCAGGTGGATCTTTCTTCCCTCCAGGACATGCCCTTCAAGATTATCAGTTAGTTTGGGGTATAGGGACACCATTTGTAGGCCTCTCCTTGGTGATGCAATGCCATAGTTTAAGGTTAAGTCCTTCCACAAGTCCTGATAGCCCTGACCTCGTGGGTTTTGAGGTTTTTCTGCTTGATTATTGCCCTGATTAGGTAAGGTCACTGTCCTCCCTTTTCCCTGAGTCTCTATTGGTGCTGTGGCCTCAAGATTTTTCTCTGTCCACGCCTCCTTTGGATTTGGAAGGGAGCTTCTTCTGGTTCCTAACTCCACGCATTTAGTGAAGCCGCTTTGTAACATATCGGTGATGAGAGATGAGAAAAAGCCCTCAGTGGCCCGGTCCCAACACTCGGCAGCAGAGCTTGCATGGTGGGGGTGATGATGTTCTCCTTTCCTTGGTTTCTGGGAAAGGGGAAATGACTCTGTTTGGCTTGCCCACAGACCACCCAAGCTTCTACTCTTGGATTGGGACCTCCGGAGGTTTTTCACTTCCTGAACAAGATGTGTCCCAGTGCTTGGCCAAATCGTAGGGCTGCTCCACCTTTGGGTACTTTCAGTCTCGTCCAGTCTCCTGTGTGAGCCAAGCTCTTGGCCCTTCATTTTCCCTGTCACACTCCTGGGGACAAGGGCTTTGTCCCTGATCGATCCCGCACTATCTCTCTACAAGATCTCTCGGCCCAGATCTGTCTACAAGATAAATAAACTTCCAAGTTCACCAGCCTCTGCCGCCAGCATTCCGCTGTTGCCCTGGGTTTGGAGAAAGTGAACTCTCTGTACTCACAACTTTAGCTACCCTGCCTGTCTATGATGCAATGGGCGGGGCTAGAGGAAAGGTGGCTGTGACCTGGGCTGACCTTCATAATCAGGGAAGCCTTGGGCCCTGTGTCTGCTGGTGTGGGCACAGACGTGGTGTGGCCAGGCGAGAAGTGAGCTCTGCCAGGCAGATCACTGGGTGTGAACGAGTTCTCTGGGGAGTCACGGGAGGGTTGGCCTGGCCTGACTTGTTAGGGCTGCCAACACAGAGGCTTTGACCCTGAGAAGGATCAGAAGACCCTGAATGTAAAAGGGCTTGTCACACAAGTCTGAAAACCTGAGTTAGTTCTCAGGAGCTCTCAGAGGTAGGTGAAAACCAACACTTGGAAGTTGTTTGCCCTTTAATCTCTGTGCTCCTGGATTCTCATAGTCCCCACCCTATAGTATTTTGGGTTTTTTGTTTTGGGTTTTTTGTTTTTCGAGACAGGGTTTCTCTGTAGCTTTGGAGTCTGTCCTGGAACTAGCTCTTATAGACCAGGCTATTTTGGTGCCATCTGATGGCCAGCATTGTGTCTCTGCGTGCTCTGAGCCACTCGCTTTTCCAGAGCTATTGTTGAACTGTCAGACCATTTGAATGACGGGCTCTAAGCTATCTGGGTTTCTTCCCTGACAGGGAAGGTTTTTCGGCATCAGCTCAATCATTGGGGGCTAAACCAACTGAGACAAAAGAACAAGAGTGTTAAGTAGATTTCTGGTGTGGTTAATGTAACCACCAAATATAGAGTCTTAGTCTGGCAGTGGTGGCACACGCTTTTAAACCCAGCATTCAGAAGGCAGAGGCAGAAGGCTCTTTGTGAGTTCGAGGCCACCTGGTCTAAAGAGCGAGTTCCAGGACAGGCAAAGCTACATAGTGAGACCCTGTCCCAAGACAAAAACAAATGAAAATGTCCTCTTTTTACATTGTTCTACCTTTTAAACCACAGCTGTCAGAATCAACCATTGCAACTCCCACTGAGCAGCAGCCAGGCTGAAAGAGCCACAGCCTGAGGGAATTCTGTTCCTTCAGGCACCGACTCTCAAAACTCAGAAGAGAACCTATCTAAATCTCCGTCCCTCTAAAGAACTGATTCAAAGGCTGAGGTGGAATCCTGCTCCCCAGAGGGGCTGAAGAGCAAGCGGCTCACCTAGCTCACCTCCTCTCCCTCCTTGCATCTCTCCAGAGCCCTCCTGCTTCTCCTCACCCTACTTTAAAACCCTTCCCCACCTGACTTCTCCCTACAACTTTCTGTCCGCCTCCTGACCGCAGGCGGATTTTATTTAATCAGACACATCTCTGCATCAGTAAATCAATGTTCTAGCGCAGAAGCAAAAGTAGCACACCTCAGAATCATGTTCTCCAACACAGAACTATGGAGTCTGGGCCTGGAAAGAGGGTTAGGACTGGGGCTCAGGGGTCGAGACTGCTCTCTCTGACATGGCAACTAGTTGCCACGTTAACCTAGAGTTGGTTTCCTCCAGAAATGGATGAGTCTGACATTCAGATGTTAATTCTAGAAACTGAGGCTGACAAAGCCAACCTTTTTGTAGGATTTCCAAGAGAGATAACTGAATCTGAAGTCGAAATGGTCCATAATGTGCTTTGATCCGATTCTCAAAAATCCTGTATACTGTCAAAATGTCAATTTCAAGTTTAATTCTAGGACTCTTCTGTATGGAGATGAGGCAGGCAAGCACCGTTACATCAGGACTGACGGGGGCAACACGGAAAGAGAGAGGAGACCAGGCTGTGCAGAGGAGATGGCCCTTTCCTGGGACGGTGAAGGGCAGTGGGCTCTCGGCGGGAGTGGCTCAAGAGTTACAGGACAGAAAAACTTTGGGGGTGGAAGATGCCATCTGCAGGTCTGCTCCCTGTGGTCTCAAAGTGGTAAACACCAAGGGGGTTACTATGTTGATCTTTTGCCTGAAGCCTCCTGGATTCTACAAGCCCAGGGTGTTGCCTCGAGTCAACTTTTGTGCCCAGGGTTTCTCAGCCCTCCTGAGGTTTTGGGGCTACTAGCCGTTTGAATATAATAATTATCTTAGCAACCTGGGACTGCACTTGCCGAGGGATAGAGATTTCATCCCTCGCGGAAAAGAAAGGTTTATCAGCCTGCTAGCAACCCAGGCGCCACAGCCAACACTAACTGCGCTGGACCCTGCACTAAACTGGGCAACCGTTTCTCCTCTTAGCATCTTCTAGACAAATGGCAACTGTGTGCAATGGGCTGATCCAGCCTAGACTGGTTTCGGGTGGATGCACAATAAAGCAAATTGTGTCCTCTTAAGTGACCAGTTCTGGAGATTCCCTTGCCTGTGATGATATTCCTGGGCACAATTTTCATGTACATGGCAAATTATGGAACTGAATCTTTCAACCAAAATAGAACTTAACTCGAGGCCCCTTTAGCAACTGCATTAGTGAGCGTTCTCTAGAGTCACAGAACTTATGGAGTGAATCTCTCACGCTTATATATATAAGGGAATTTATTGGAATGGTTTGCAGACTGCAACCCAGCAATGGCTAGCCGTGAATGGAAAGTCAAGAATCAAGAGTTGCTCCGTCCCATGAGGCTGGGGTCTCAGCTGGTCTCCTGGACTGGATGGAATCCTGAAGAAGTAGGCTCCGATGCCAGAGAAGGACTGGACGTGATGACAGGTGAGGCCAGCAGGCAGAGAATGAATTTCCCCTCTTCCTTCTTTCATGTCCATTCCAGGATGTTGGCCCACATTAAAGGTGTGCCTTCCAACCTCAAGATCTGGATCAAAGGCATGTTCATGTCTTCTTGTTTCAATGTCTGGATCACAAGTAAGCCCTTCATTTCTGGATTATCGTTCATTCCAGATATAGTCAAGTTGACAACCAGGAATAGCCATCAGAGAAACCAAACTTCTCTGGAACCCCATACAAGGAGGCTGCAAGTGACCAAAGAGGCCAAAAGGAGGTGTGGGACCCCCTGAGCTGCAGATCCAGGTACTGAGGACCACTAGGCACGGGTATTGAGAACTAAACTCAGGTCCTCTGAAAGAACATCAGGTGCCCTTAACTCCGAGTCATCTCTCCAGCTCTCCCCGCCCCCACATTACTCTTGATAGTGTGTTAGTCTCTAATCAGCACTATCACTTTGCTCTGAATAAAGTACTTGTGCTACATTGTGATCTCCATGTGCTTATTTCAATGCTTTGAAGAAGACACAGGGAACCGGGGATAGCCCACGTAAGTTAGACCCTGAAAAGTGGTAACTCTTGTCTTCTCTCTCTCTCTCTTCCTCTCTCTCTCTCTCTCTCTCTCTCTCTCTCTCTCTCTCTCGTGCATGCGCGTGCGCTCTTGCTCTCGCTTAGTCTTTTTGCCAAACAAGTCATCATATGAGAAAATACATTTTTCCTATTCTCCTGCCAAAAGTTTCCTTCAGTACTTTCTGATCATTTTTCATTCTGGTTCCTATATAAATCTATTTTATTACATTTATTTATGCAGTTCTGTGAATGTGTGTGGTCAGAGAAAAACTAACAAGCATCAGTTTTCTTGTACCATGTAGGACCCGGGACTTGAAGCCATGTCCATAGGCTTTTCCTGCTAAGCCAACTCATCAACCCAATCCCTACCTCTTTTAATATTGTTCCTACTGTCTAGACGGAACCAAACTCCAAAGCCATGTGGGATTTTAAAAGTTCTTTTAAATTAAAATGCCAGAAGTGGTGGTGCTCACCTTTAACCTCAGCACTTGAGAGGCAGAGTCAGTGGATCTCTGAGTTTGAAGCCAGCCTGGCCCAGTAAGGGCTTCACAGTGAGCCTGTGGCAGTTGGGATAACAATGCCCCCTACAGGCTCATATATTTGAATTCTGGACCATCAGGGAGTGGCACCACTTGAGAGGGATTCAGAGGTGCAACCTTGTTGGAGTAGGTGTGGCCTTAGGAAATGTGTCACTGGAGGTGGGCTTTGAGGTTTCACAAGCTTCAGCCGGACCCAGTGTCTCTCTCTTCCTGCTGCCTAAGGATCCAGATGTCGAACTCTCAGCTACTGCTCCAGCACTTTGTCAGCCTGTGGGCTGCCAGGCTACCCACCATGACAGCGGACTAAACCTCTAGAACAGTAAGCAAGCCCCAATTTAATGTCTTCCTTTATGAGAGTTGCACTGGTCATGGTGTCTCTCCATAGCATGAGAACACTGACTAAGACAGAGACCCTATCTCAAACAAGACTTTTGTCTGCCATTGATATTGATTAGCAGGTATGGGCCAGATGATTAAAAGCCATTAGGGTTTCCTCAGCTACAATGCTTACAGGATAATTGTGCTGTTGGACTGGGAGAATTGGATTCTTCCTGTAATAAGACAAACCTTCACATCTGTCAGGTCAATATTTATACGACCAATATGAATTATTTACGCCTTTTTTCCTGGGGCTTAGCCTTGTGTGACCTGTTCAAATGTCTCATTACTAAACTTAAGGGACCTCATCTTTCCTAACTACTATATAGTTTCTAGATTCAAGAGTACACATGTCTGTTCTTTCTGCGTTATAAACTGATGTCTCCACCTCTTCATTAGATCAAACCTATGCAACATACTATGGATCATCCCTACCAGCCTTTCTACACAGCTCCTGCAGAGGAAGACACTAACAAACCATCTCTGGTTTTCTAGTTACCTTAGAAAAATAACGGTCATCTTTGTCACATGTAGGCCTCCTGAGCAGATGAATGGAATACTTCTGACCCTAGGGAGAGATGTGACCTTCTCTGATGTACTCCAAAGAATAGGAGAGGGCATGCGACTATCTCTTCCCTAAGAGTTAACACCGGACTGAAGAGAGGGCTCAGACATTGGAACACTGTCTTTCCAGGCACCACAAGATGATGATTCATAAGCAGCTATAACTCCAGTCCCAGGGGTTCCCATGCCCTCTTCTGGCCTCTTCGGGCAGCATGTGCATGGTGTCTAGACATATACACAGGCAAAGTACCCATACACACAAAATAAAAAGAAAGAAATCTTTTTCAAAAAAGAATTAGTGGAAAAATAAAAAGCAACAATGTGGAACTTTGAGTGAAAACGTCCCCCATAGGCTCATGTATTTGAACGCTTGGTCACCAGCAGATGAACTATTTAGGAGGTATGGCCTTGGAAGAGTGTTATAGAATATTATTTTAATGTATGTTACATTTGTTTATGCTCTGGAACATTCGTTAAATGTTGCAAAGATGTTCCACCTGCGGTCAGGAGGTTGCCACAGCAACTAGCTGACCGGAAGTAGTAGTGAGGATCCAGGTGGAGAATGGTTTATGAGGAGGGGTGAGGAGAAGCAGGAGGACTTCTTGGGAGAGGAGAGGGGGGTGAATTAGGTGAGCCGCTTGCTCTTCAGCCTCTCTGGGGAGCAGGATTTCACCTCAACCTTTGAATCTTGAGTTCTTTAGAGGGACAGAGATATAGATAAATTCCTTTTGTAGCTTTGAAAGAGTCTGTACCTGAGAGAACAGAATTTCCGCAGACTGCGGCTCTTGCTGGCTCCTGTGGCCTAGCTGCTGCTGGTGGGGGCAGAGTCGCAGTTGCAGCTAGGATAGCGGCAGTTTAAAAGGCAGCAACAACTGAAAAAGGAAACAACAGAAGAGAAGTGGCCTTATTGGAGGAGGTGTGTCATTGCGAGTGGGCGTGGAGGTTTCAAAAGTACCAAAGCCAGGGTTTCTCTCTGCCCACTGCCTGTGGGTCAGGATGTAACTCTCAGGCGCCTCTCCAGCACCATTGCCTCCTGCATGCTGCCGAGTTCCCCACCGTGTTAATAACGGACTAACCCTCTGAAACTGTAAGCCCCCAACGAGAAGCTTTTTTAGTAAGAGTTCCCTCTATCATGGTGTCTCTCCACAGCAAGAGAACACTAACAAGGACAAACAAACCCAAACAGAATCGACAGACGGGACACAGAGGGGCACACCTTTAGTCTCAACAATGTAAGACACAGAGTCAGGGGGACTTCTGTGAGTTTGAATCTATATAGGGAGTTCCAGATCAGCCAGGGATTCACAGAGACTCGATCTCAAAAATACCTTAAGACAGTAAAGAATGAAAACTCGGGAAAAATTGTTGCATCAAACAAAATGATTTATTAAAATATGAATCCCAAAACCAGAGATGGTGGCGCACACCTTTAAACCCAGCACTCCAGAGGCAGGGGAATATCTGTGAGTCCAAGCCAGGCTGGTCTCCATAGAGAAACTCTGACTCAAATAAATAAACTCAGAAAATGATTTTTGCATTTATATGTGATGGTCAGCTTTAACTGCCACCTTGGCACCACCTAGACTCACCTGGGGAAGAGTCTTGGTGAAGGATACGTCAATTGGGTTGACCTGAGAGCGTGAATGTAGGGGAATTGCATTAACTGATGCAGTAAGACCCAGCCCATTAGGGGCAGCACAATTCCCTAAACAGAGGGTCCCAAACTTTGTAGAAGAGTGCAGAAATCCAGCTGGCCACAGGGGGGAGCAAATAAGCAGCTAAGCAAGCATGCATGCTTTTCCTGCTGGTCTCGACTGTGGATGCACTGTGACGAGCTGTTTTAAGTTCTGGCACCAGGGTGTGCCTCCTCCCATAGGCTATTTGCTGAGACTGTAAGCTGAAATAAACTCTCTCCTTTAAGTTGCTTTTCTGTCAAGGTATTAGATCACAGCAAAAGAAATGAAACTAGGATAATACCTTTCCAAATTTCAGGCATGGGAACCAAGCAGATTCACCAAAAATGTGGAAGCCTGGTAACAAGTCCGTACAACAAAATAAGCTACCAACTACACTCAGGTACTGCTACCAACTACACCCAGTACTGCTACCAACTACACCCATGGATCGCTACCAACTACACCCAGGGATTGCTATCAACTACACCCAAGGATTGCTAGAGAACCAGAAGTCCACACAATTATCCTTATAACACAAAATACTTTGCTGGTATAAAAATGACCAAGGTCTAAGAATATAATTAAAATAGAATCTATCCATGACTGCACGCAAAAATGGGCTGGTGAGGCCCAGTGTGCCTTGAGAAGGAGCCATAGACAAGTGACAGGAAAACAAGAGACAGTCCCCCCAACCTACACCTACCCACCTCCGCTCCAGAGTAAGCAGACACATAAGAGACACTGCCCCCAGAAGGCCGTAACACAACCTTTGATTCCAGCACATAGGAGGTAGAAGCAGACCAGTCTCTGTGAGTTCGAGGCCAGCCTGATCTATAGAATGAGTTCCAGAACCGTCAGGACTACACAAAGCAAGCCTGTCTGGAAAAACCAAAAAGAGAGACAGAGTGGGGAGGGGGTTGGGAAAGACTGTCAAGACAAAGTGAGGAACGATTAGTGGGGAAAGGGACACAGGCGTTGAGCCACTTGGGTTGTTGAAAAGAACTACATTGCTAATCATGGGCGTTTGAGTCTTTCCTTCTACACGGGCTGTGCTGTCTACATTCACCCCTCAGTCATGGCCTCTTTGATACCAATTGTGAGTGTGGCTCCCAGGTCATCTGCCCCAAGAAAGCTGCTCAGTTCTCATACCACCCTGTGACTCCCATCCTGGTGTTGCCTCTGTGGCCCCCTGGACAATTGCTACCACCGTGGGTGTCATCCTTGGGAACCTCGCTCTCTGTTCTCCCTCCCCTGCCACCCCTAAGTGGCCCTCGGGATGCCCTAGCAGTCTAGGCCACACTTCTGGCATGACTGCTATGAGCAACCATCTCTGCCTTCTGCACTGTGCTGAGCTTGAAAGTGGCCAATCAGGTTGTCCAAAAAAAAAAAACCCAACAGAACTCGCAGGCTGCAGCAATGTCATGTGGCCTTAAGCCGCGGCTCCCATGCGGAGGGTGCCCTGCCTGCAGCCTTCTCCACATGGAGTAGGCCACCAGGCCTCAACAGTCAGTGCACTTGGTCTGGGGACTCACCGGCATCAGACTCCATCCTAGTCCCAAAGACTTCAGAATGACCAAGCAGGTCAGACGCTAATCTACGCATTGAGGTAAGGCCTGGGGATTCATCTGCAGGCCCAGCTTTGTCCCTGCCCTACAAACTGCCATTTCACCTTCGCATTCGCCAGGTCTCCCTACAGTTTAGGGCCAGTCTTTGCTGAGACATCCACCACAAGCCACACCGAGAATCTGAGGGAGGGTCC